AATATTTATTGATGAGATGTGCCAACTCTTGAACTTTGAGTTGTCTCCAGCAAACTAGAGGAACTTGTGCTAAACAGTCACCGTCAGGTAATTTGCAAAATGTTACTAATGCGACCATGTGCTTGGTCTTGATCTTTATCTTTATGTCAGATGATTTTTCCCGTAATTTGGAAAAACCCAGTAAAATGTTTACTTCAACAAAATGTTATTGCCCTTGACTTATGATTATGATATTCTATACATTTCCTTATTTCCGATATTACCGGTACCTATTTGAATGACAGTCATCTTTTGTCATCAGTCACAAAACAATTCATCAAAAATGTTGATTAACACCTGCAGCCAATAAGAAATTGTGTCCATTTGGTTTTAAATTAAAGTGTAGCGTCAGAAGTTTGGCGAGAGTTACAATAAAATAGTTTATAGTGAAGCCATGTGTATATCTACCCTGCCATATAAATATAAAAATCCACTGTCCATGGTCAGAGACTTGTTAGTTGATGGAAGTTGCGACCTCCACCACGTATCTTGAATACACAAACTAGGATGTTAAAGCTCTGCATTATAAACTTAAATCTGCATGCATTTCCACTGTGTGACGCCCGGCTATCTAAGCGTAATTTGATGGGATATAATATTCCTGGGAGGCAGGGAGGGATGGGTGTCTCCATACTGCCAGCGAAAAAAAAGCTCCTATTAATACTGTCTCATTCTCTTTTGTGATGGAGATTATTCTTTTGAGCATCAACAAAAAAATTGTCTTTAAACACTTTTGAAAGTTTAGTTACAAATTTGTTTGTTCTACGCATTATTACTTGTAATTGTCAATGTGATTTATTTATCTGTTATAAGGAGCAAGCGAAATGTTTTTAATTCTTTTCACACTTGCATGTTAGTTGGCCAGTTGCTTCTCATGGTTTAAGTAAAATGCAAGCGTAGCATTCTGTATTATTGCATTAGGTAATCAGATTCTGGTTCCTCTTATCCACTTGTAGGTGTCAGCCATCTTGATTCTAATGCGTGTCCTGTCAGTTAAAACCATACTCCTTTGCAGCACTATTTTATGTTCTGTCCATCACTTACGGCATACAGAACCGAAATTCAGCAATAAAAGCGTTCCTGTGTACTCACTCCAGACTTGATTTGTAAATGCCTGTAGCCTAAATTTGGCACAATGTACCACCATGTCATGTCAGAAGGGTGACACAAGTATCATATGACACAACTCGCATTGCGTTCTATCTTGCATTGTGGGTGCAGAGGACAATTGGATTTTTGAAATTTACAATATTTTCAGGAAATATTTAATGGCAAAATGGGCAGTTTTATAAAACTGCTTGTGTTTCACGTTATACACCCATTCACTTACATTCATTAAAATTGTATTACTATTGAAAAAACATATGGTGAAAGCTCTTGGTGAAATAATAATTCTGTTATTAATTATTATCGTCATTGTATACTATAAAGTGCAATTCATTAATGGAACATTGTCTGAGGTGTCCGGCTAAATTATATATTTTAATAAGTTCATTAAAGTTGCCATATGGAGAGTCCTCAGCCATGACAAACCTAAGACAGTACTACCCATAGTACATAGCAAACAGTCTTTGTTTTGCTCAGCCATGCTACAGATTTGATAGATTTCGATCCCCACCGCAAAAGACTAATTCGAAATGACAATTGATCCATTTCTCGTCCCTCTCAAATGAATTAGCACGACGAGTGGGCACGATGATATACCGATACTATAATGTAATGTAATGTTATTTAAAAACTACTGCAGCTGTGGGATCTTGGCAGGATATAGGATATTTTAAAATCCGTCCTCTCAACAGGACTCGTAAAGTGTCCTACATGCTCAGGCTCTGTCATAGTTTCAGTGACATGCTGAGTCACACTGAAAATGGTGGGGTTTTTGAGTGCTAGGTAACGGATGGTCGTAGTACCTATTAATGATCCCCTTGTTGGCACCAAAGGTGTGATCATACAGGCTGTTTGTGTACCATACCTTGTTTAGTATTAACATATAAAACAGTAGTCAAACACAGCCTTGTTTTGATAGCGCTGAAAACTGATGATTTATTGTGCTGTTAATTTAACCATTCTATTCAGAGTGTCCAGCCAAATCTGGCAATTAGAACTCTCTGAACAATACCCTGACCCCTCTCCCACTTTACAAAGTCTGGTTGGGTGAATAAGCTAGGTATGTCTACACTGGAATGGTGAGAAGAGAGAGAAAAAAAAAAAAGATGAAGTGGTTTTTGGAGGGAATTCTTATCACCACACCAACACCTTTTTTGCCTGGAAACGGAACATGGTTTTTATTTGGTAGCTATGCAGGTAGAGATTTCCCACTACTAATGAGATCTGTCTCTTGATGTGCAACTGATTTTCACTAAGATGGGGGAGCGTCATTTTGCCACTTAAGCTATGTGATTGGGCTGTGAATTGAGGTCAACCTGTTTGCCACCAATACATCACCATGAAATTTATTTCACACCATTCAAGCATAAATACAAGGGGGCTTCTGACAGCCACTGCCGTTGTTAGAACACATCAAACACTCTAAGCTCACTCTAGATCCATTTATTTCATTACTTTGCTACATGTTTCTAGATCGTAGCGCACACATGCTGTCAAAATTTGGGGTCGTAATGGGTGCCCAGTGAAGTCTTTCAGTTGAAACTTGCGGGTTGATAATTTCGGGTGTCAGTGACTCAATCTTTTAACTGTAAAGCGAGGGGAAAAGCAATCATGCAAAACTT